TCTGACCAACATATAATTCATCAAAAACATAATCACATAATTGTGGTACGAAAATAAGACGTACAAATTTTAAGACCACCAAAACATTCAGCAAACAAAGTATTTATTCAGACAATATTTCCTACTCCGAGGAATGGGTCATACTCGAAACTTGAGGAAATGGGAAACTTCTTCCGTCATACAAAGCAGTGCAATACGTCTCGCTCACCCGAATTATTGTCTAGTCCCGGTGCTACGATTTCCCCTTCTCCCACACCTGACACACCAGTACGCCACGCACATTGAAATTTTCAGTGGTACATGTGACATTTTTGCAATCGGCACGCGAAATAGAATGTCAGCACGCCCGTCGCTCCTACGCGGTAAACACGCAACAATCACGGTTGTCAATAGGCAATAGCATATAGGTATCCCGGCAGACAAATATTGTGTAAGTTTGTATTATGACGTTTGAATTTGAAACGACGTTCCTACGTATTATCCTTCGACAGTTAAATAATAAGATTAGTTCGAAAGCAATAACCCTCCTATATCTTCGCCTACCCACCAACACCCCACCAACCGTTCCGCAACATGAAGTCCGCCAACGATTGTATAAGATTAAAAAATTACATTATTATAATATTATACATACACCGGACTCTCGACTTATACGCGCACGTTCACCTTGACAACGCATATGTTGTACTCACATCGACATCGTCTGCTACAATATTATGTACCCATACATTCTACGGAAATCTGCCATGAATTGGTAACCCGGATACATGGTTAATTATTTTTTCCATCGAATATACCTACTATTTTTTTCTAACTATTAAAATATTGTAGTATTAATTTTTATTTTAATATCTTGTTAAAATATTTCGACCTTGATCATTGATTCATGTAATTTATCATATTATTATACAGTGTTATTCGATGGTATATTAAAAATCTACATATTATCATAGTTTTCTGTGATGCATCAAAATGCAGATTTTTAGCAATACGTTTTACCACTTAAGTTCTTAATTCCTGTATTATAATAATTATAATTACAATATAATATAACGCTATAATTTTTGATAATGCCATATCATAATATTATCACCACATTGTCCATAATGCACTCTGTTTTACGATTTGGCAGATATATATTACTATAATACTGATGGGTTTTGTATCGTGCTTTCCACGTATACACATAAATCAGTAATGACAATATTATGTTCATTCGATCGAGAAAAAACATTATGTGTGGTGTAAATCCTGTACTAGTTACAATTATGCATTTTAATGTATAATATAATAACTGATCCATAGCCAAAAGGCTTTCGTCGAAACGATTTAACAGCAGCAGAGCTATACGGTCCAAATAATAATGTGTAAAAACATTATGACCGGTTTTATTCATTGAGCGTATATATACATTATACTCCGAATTAGAAACAAATCATATTTTATACTCTTTTTTTGCGTTCGAGTAGATGAAAAGAGAAAGGATTCAACAGTAGAAAAATCAACTTTTACATTTAATTTCTTCAATATAACACTTATTTATTAAAAAAATAACAATAATAAATTATCAGTGTTGGTATTTATACTTGATAGGGTAAAATTATTTTAGTGTATAATATCGAATCTGACTGTATACTATGTCCATAAAATCGATGAAATGAAGAATTCTAGGTACTAATATTCTATGTATATTGTATACCCAATACAAATCGGTGCCTATTACCATAGTAATATATTCGTTTACTTTCGAATAAAACGTACGCGGTGGCTGATTAATATTAATTATATATTTTTAGTTAGGTCCATATAAATTACGATCTAAATGATTTCTACGCCCGTTTCTGAATTCAGATCTAAACGATATAAACAGTAAGTGATCCGCAAATCGTGCGCCATTTTTTTTACCCGAGTCTCAAAACTCGGCCAAAAGTATTCAGTGAAACACTAATCTGAAACATGGATTTCAAATTAAAAAAAAATCGTAATCCACAATTTTCAGAAATTGTCAAATTTTTTTAAGATTAATTTCTCGCCGATATTTGAATCACAGCAAGTCATAGTAGCGAGTTAGCAAGTTATCTAAGGAACGTCACGCTATAAGTACCTACATGAAAAACTACCTAAATAAACATTTTAGCATACAAATATTATATTGAAGAATCCCAATTATTATCGTTTAGATAGTTTAGATAGATCATAACCATAACAAGATTATAGGTACCGACAATTTAACTAGGTATTAAAATCAAACTGCAACGTATCTATTCACGATAGCATAATATGTAACTTTCATTGCTTGTATTTTTGTTATTGATTGACCACAACTAGTTTTCATAGTTGAAAAAAGGTATTTTTTTCGAAACGGATTTATAATTCTTTCATCGTAAGCAATGTCCGGACTTAGACCATTCTGAGAACGCGCAAGTTAGAACACGTTTTGCGGTCCGGTCTGTAGCATAATGTACAATATAATTGCAATCAAATATTATATATGGTAGCCTGTAGGTATCTATGTTTTCTAGTTATAATAGTACTAGTCTCAATGATGCGTATACATAACTTTTGTATAGAAATTGGGGGGGGGGGGGTCAGTGGAAAGAAACCTAATATAATATAAACAATGAATACTCATTATAAGGCGCTTAAATAAAAAAAAAACACTATTAATGTATCAACAAATGATTTTAGGTGAGACTTAAGCACCCTCCTTCCGCGTTTGATAGCTCTATCAAAAAACTGATGTCAAAAAATTATCATATTGTTCACTCAGTAACAGTTTCTTTAAACTATTGTAATTTATGGATTAGCTTTAAAATTATAACTGTGTTGTATCATGGTGAACCTAGCTTAACAAATGATGGCGAAATTAACAAACGTTGTTTACTGATTAATTTATTGTATATTTGTCTGTATAATATTATTATATGTATTATGTTATATACATGAAGATTTTGGTACCATATTATGTTAATAATAAAATAATAATAGTAGAACTTCATTTCAGAAATATTTAAATACATTTTTAATTTTTTTTATAAAATTCATTCTGACCTCTAAGTAAACTTGTTTTAGGTTTTGTGAGTTTTAAGAATATGACAATATAAGATAAAATATATGTACATATATTTTTTTTATCAAAAAAGTAAAAGGATCGTGTAAAAAAAAAAAAATAAAATACGACAATGTATTCATAGTTTTACCTTAAATAATTAAATATCTATTATTTAACACATTTATTGAATTAATTTAAGTTTTTAATATACATTTTAAATTTAGTTAATGTAGGAACAGAATCAATTAATTTTTTTTACTATGCAATAAATTAGTACCAATATATTTAAAGGGGACATCATTGTACCAAATAATTTGTTACATACAAGGGGATTTATATTGCGTTTTTATTTAAGTATAGTATTAAAATTATGCACTGATTTACATCTATGATATTTAAATTTATACATATAACTATAATAATAGGTAATTTTAAAATGTAGTATTTCAAGATTATTAACTTAAAACAGCTTATAAATTAATGACTTTTTTATAATGTATTTTATTAAAAAGTTAATTGTGGCGTTTTTAGTAAGATAAATTTTGAAAGTACCATCCCATATGCTTATACCATACAAAATATAACTTACCAGTTACCAATGAATAATATACTGTTTTTAAAAACGTCAGAACCCAATATAATCTATGTGTTCTAAAGATATTAAAAAATGTTCTTACTAAGATAGTTAAATCTTCAATATGGTATTTCCAATTTAGTTTATTAACATAAGTCCATAATAAATATTTTATTTTTGATAATTCTTTCATTTCCATGCAATTACGGTCATTCTTTATTTAGGTTAATTTTTATTTGTGGGGATCTATCTTCAGACCCCCTGAGAGTTTTGTGTGATTGTGGTGACTCGTCGAGTCTCTCATTGGGGTCCGGTAGAGGTTTTGTTTTAAGACTAGCATAATAAACTACAAAGTAGCTGTTAATTCACATTATATAGATACATGTAATCTATAATGTATGGGTTAGAATTTGGAATAACATGATTGCCATCGTGTAATGAGTACGAGGCCTATCTACGCGGGTGGCGTTACGCAAACCACTAAGTCTTTAACAATAGACCAGTAGACGAAATATGTGTTTCTAGGAAAGAACTTGGAAAGAAAAATACGAACACCTATACTGCCATCGCCTTGACCTCACCGACCGTCGTGTATAATAAGCAAAATAATAATACCTATAGAGTATAGAGTATAGACTGTGTGTACCAAATAGTAGTCGAAAACCACGGCGTTCATTACAACAATAATAATTTGATTTATCATGTCAATCTTATATTGCTCAGCGGAGAGATGTTCGTGGAAGAGGTTATTTCGAAGTATCCTTTAATATACTACATAGGTGTATCGGTCCAACCCTTGAAGTCCTACTGTAGCCATTGTGTGCGTACCTACGTGCATGTACACATGACTCGTCGAAGACTCGGAGGTTCTTTCTATGGGTGTACTGAGTGACGAGTGTACAGAAATGTATTATAAATTGTTCTGAACTTCTTGCTGCAACCATGTGGCATACATGGTGAGTTTCAGCGTTTTACCATATCACATCTGTAGGTCTAATATGTAAACATGTGTTGACTGACTTATCAACGTACAGACAAGACTATGACAGTTAGAGCTTTGAAATGTATATGGTACCTTACTACCTTCATACCACAATACTACCATGTAAGGGTGCACTAAGAAAGAATGTTCCAAAATTACAGGGGCTTGCACAGAAAACATTTCTACATTTCTCTTAGGGTCTGATGGTTACCGCAGAAAATAAAATAGTCATTATAATGGGTAGTCCTGCATATTATATGTGGTGATAACCATCCATGGCCGTGTTAAGAACATGACATTGTTTTTAGTTTATATTTAACGGAGCTAAAGACAGGGTAAATCCACTGGAATCATTTAATGCCCATTACTCGGGGGTGAGCATTATTACTAACCTGGTCTAGGGGCGCAGAGGGCCACCAGTATGACGGCCGCGGCCGGGATCCAAGCGGTGGACTTCATCGAGCTCGGCCGGCCGAACTCGTCCGTAGCTGGTGCGTCACTGTCGTCGTCGGTCGGCGCATCATAATCGTAACGGCGACGACCGTTGAAAACGCCGAAGAAAACGGCCCGCCGCCGGCGCGTCGGCGACTCGTGAACCGAACTTATAGCAACGGCGGCAAAAACCGATACGAGTATCGGAAATGAAAATTCTAAAAAAAAATACCACACACACAATATGTTATCACTTGCGCACAATTTTAACGAGCCATTCGGCGGACGGACGTCGACTCGGGCGCGCGTATCGCGGACTACTAAGCGGCGAACACCGCGCGCCGAGCGCACGCCGCGTCGTCGGCCATGTTGAATATTATTATATTATTATTATTGTTGTTGTCGTACAGCCCCGCCGCAGGTCCATCTCACCGGTTATAGGTAGGATACCACTACTTTTAATATTATTATTATTATTATTATTATTACTATTATTAAAGTGCGTAGATAATAATATTATATGCACTCAGCCCGACCACTTTCTACGACGTGTCCCCCCCACTGACGGTCGCGGTCACAATCCTCTCGTTGCTGTCTTGTGGGCCGCCGAGGAATTCAACCTCCGCCGCCGCGCCGCCGTTGACGCAGTGGTTCGCAAAGCGCGCGGTGGTTCACCGCCGCCTCAAGAATGTCTACCGGTTACAACTGGTTACAACTGGTCATACGTCTTATAGTTGCAGTGGCTGAGGTGCACTCTTCGCCGCCACGGTCACCAGCCATATTATGCAAACTTGATTCGTCCGCCATAATAATATAATAAAGTGATAACGATTAACAGTGTAACATTATACACGCGTGTGTACCAATGTGTTTAAGTACACACTTTCTAACGCCGACATGTTATTAGCGCGGGCGCTAGTCAATGACAATTTTTTTTCATTCCTTTGTACTTCAACAGGTACACTACGCGTCACGCCTACGTCAAACAAGGTGGCGACGTTCGGAAATCGTCCGATTGTCTTACGAAAACGAACAGTGTACTCTGTACACATTATTATATATTATTCGGGCGAGTACATAATTTGTAAATTTCACTTTCACACTCTTCGTCGAGAGAGATCACCACGTACAATTTTTTTTTTTACTTCAAATACTCGTGTTAGAAATTAGAATATAATATATATGGCCATGATATACTGTTGGATATTATTTGATAGCCAAGCATAATACGATATTACACTGTAAAGAAATCGTTAAAAAGTAACAAGTACTGCTGTAAGTGCATGACGTGGTAGGAGATCGAGAAAACGAGAATTTTCCAATGCGATAATATTGTTATAGAATATAGTTGCAACTTAAAGGAATAATGTGTGTAAAATATAATATACCAGAGGTCTAAAGTCGATAATGTTAATTGAATTTTTTGCAAAGCCTTTTCTTGTTTTCAGACCATGAAAACAACAGTTCTTGACAAAGGCGTATATTATAATAATATTAATATACATTTGTGCATAACATCAGATATTGAGTAGGTAATATATTCGGTTTAATTTTAAGTTCAAAAAATTAATGTAAGCTATACATATTTTAGGAAAACAATAATCATACGAAGCATTTGGTTGTTACTATTTTCCGACTAAAATTCAATATCTTTAATCGTTATTTTATAATTGTATATTGTAATAAAGTTTTTATTCAATATCTTATAATATTTTGAACTGTGAAATGTGAATGTATCTAGAATAGAAAAAAAAAATTATCGTTCATAGTGTTATAATATATCATGTTATTTATAGTACCTATATTGAATTTCAAGTCAAAGGATAGGCAAAATATCACACACAAGCGTATGGCTAATTGACGGTCACCTTAATTAATCAAACCATACAGATATAAGTGGCGGTGTTAGGATTTTCAACATCATACATAAATTTAACTAGACCTTAACTATGTAGTTATTTTAAGTGAATATGATCAAATTAGCATATAGCTTATAATATTATAAAGAAAGATATTTATTTTTCCAATAGTTTAAAGTATTTATAAATTAAAAGTTATCGCACTAAATATTTATTGAAAAATACAAAATAATAACGTATATTTTTGCTCTTCATGATACGTTGAATCGTTAACATTCTGACGTACAGAAACCATTATACTTAATATTTTGAGTTCCAGAACAAAAAAAAAATTGTTTTTATGTTATACAATTATAACTAATATACGTACTTCCATAATTGCTTTTTTTTTTTACTTAAATAATATTTTATTATTTTAATAACCCAAAACTTTTTACAATTTATGGTTTTAGAACTCACTAATCTTAATAAATTAAAATATACACTTTGGTAAACTGTTACACGGCCCAATGTATAGGCAATATGAGTATATACACATTTACTTTACATAATATTATAATGTATTTTAAATAGATTAATGTCATAGTTTCGATTTTGAAACTTCTGATTTAAGTAAAACGTTAGAAGTATTGAGTAAAGTGGTGTTATATAATGCAGCAAGTAGGGATTGTATTGCCATTAAACCGTTCAATATGAATGATGAGCCTGCAAGTCATGACGTATAAATGTATAATATATTAATGTCTAACGTCTGATGTGTTAGTATTCTTGTCCATGGTCTAATCTACAAATCCTGAAGTTAAACAATCAAATCAATGTAAAACTTGATTTTTTTCCTTAACATTTTTTAAATTTAAAGTAGGCAAAAAATAGATTTAAAAAAAAACTATTACATTTTTGGAATACCTAATTATTTAATCTTGAATATTGTCGATTTTACACGAAAAAACGATTAAAATAAAATATGATATTAAGTACTAATTGATGAGGTACGTCATTAGTTTATTAATACAAATATTTGAAATTCATATTTTTTATTAGACGTGGCATACGAATTATTCATCCTATTACAACTGCGATACTAATATTTGATCAGTGGTCGCCATTCGTAACAAGAATAAGTCATACCAAATAAATAATAACTAGAACTTTATTGTTTGTGTTATTTAATTTTTGAAACTTGTATCACTAAAATTTAACACAGATGTGTCAACAAATAATAACTTAAGACATTTGATATAATAAATGTCTGTAAAAAAAAAAAATAATAATTATATGTTTGAAATATAATTTATTTTTATAACACTAAGTGATTTTTCACATTTTTAGTTGATTTTCAAACAATGTTTAAGCAGCAAAACCCTTGTTTTAGGTTTCTAAACATGAGTTTAGAACAACTTAAATCTATGATGTGTCAGTCCGTTAGTTTGTTACAAGTAGTTACGACTTTTAATATTAGGTTTTTCATTTTCATATTCAGTATTCATAACTTAAAACTAAAAATCTAGAAAGGTATTTAACTAGAAACTTATGATAGTAAATATTTTATTACTACAGTTGAATAAATAAATATTTTTTTAACAGTTCTATTCAAATTTCAAATTTCAAAGTAAATTCATATTAATCAGTATTAAAAAATATCAATTTACATTATACATAATATAATATAGTGTATACTGTCGATGGATCGCCCGATTTATTCTTTTAACGTGAATATTATAATAACAATTTATAACATATTTTAAGGTTGAAATATCAAATTGACTGCTACGCCTATTTTGTAAGCTTGGCTAGATTGCCATGAGATTCATATTTAATGGGTCTCACATCAAAATATTTTCAATGCGATCTCGTTACGGGTATCAATAATCAGTATTTTATTGTCGGATTGATAAAGTACATTGTTGCAACTATCAGTAGGTGTTAGAAGCTTTCAATTATAATTTTTTCACAGTATAGTATTTGCTAGGCTAGTCATTAACGATGTTGTGTTTTAAATTTTTGTGGACAGTCTAGGTAGGGTGAAATTCGGAATTGGCTCATTTTGTAATTCTGCCTACCTATTCGCACTATACACTTGTAGTGAATATAACTGGGTCACAATCATAATAACCAAATCGAAACTTCCATCATGGACATATTTGTGAAAATTATTAACAATATTGTATACGAAGAAATGGAAACGAGATTACACAGAATAGACAACTTTGACTAGGAAGTAACAATCGACGATTCGGTTGTTGTTTTATGCTTCACAGTTCAACGCGTCTATACAATTCCTCAACTGGACGATGATTACAGAACCGGACTGGTTGGGGTTATTGAAGACGACGTGGCTGTGCCAGCACCAGCCGTATAGACAGTGGCAGAAATATGAAGTGTCGAGGCGGAGGAAGTCACACCGGCCAAGGCAATTGAAATAAGAAACTGTTTTGGAAATTTGATCAGCTGGCTTGACCCCTGCAGGGTCAACGTCACTAATACGCTCAACTCCTCGTGGCCGAACGACGAGAATAATTGTCTTTGGCCACGTGAAAAGGTGAGGTTAGATTAGGTATTCCCTATCTAACCGTAACTAACCGTACGCGTATTATGCTGTTGCTCCCGAAGCGAATAGTGTCCGAGAACCACCCCGTCTTCGCTCACTGATTGTGTGCAGTGAGCCAGGTGAAGCGACTCAGGGACGAGGTTGGAACGTGACACTGTGATAGTAGTGCACCTTGAGATGGTCAGCGGTAAGTGGCCAACACACGTTTTCAGACCACCGAGACGTTGTGACCTTTATTTTGTTCAACTCATCAACTAAATTACAACAATTATTATCGGGTACAAAGCGTTGTACCGATAGTTGATGTTTTGCATAATCCACATCCTACATCATATAAATTCTCTGCGAACACCTTTACCTATAAACATACGAATAAACATACATTCAATGGTATACACCTTCAGGGCTCAGCCGATGTCAAGATTACCAGAATAAGGATCGGACACAAATTTTTTGCACATTCCTTTCTAATTAGCAAAGACCCTTCATGTCAAACTCGCATTAATGGTTAGGTATCTTTGAGGAATGCCCAAGATCCGAATCGACAAGCATAGCTCTTAATCTTCCATGCAACATTGTAGGAGCACTTAACGAAGATGAAGCTTAAAAATTATCACTTTAATTTCTTTAATACTGTAAATATTACCATTTACGAGTAGTTATGATAAAATACCCGTAACAACGTTTTCAATAACCCTAGCTGTAGAAGCCGTAAATTTAAAATAAGAAAAAAAGAACACACATTAGTATTACTGAATAGTACGTTATATCATTATTATTCTATCAATATAGTGTTTTGTTCTGATGTAAAAAATATCTTAGATTCTTAGACTGATTAATACTTATATATTTTATTGAATTCAATAACAAAATGATGACCACACGGCGAGTTGTATAGGCAATTTAGGTACATCACCATTTCAATATAATATTTTGTATGTTATTCGGGTATCAATTTTAATATAGGTAGATTTTAGAGTAATATAAAAACAATAATAATATTATACTGATAATACAATTTTACAATTTTACCATCGTAGTACATAATATTACGCTACTCGAAAATATTTCATGAATCCGTCACACAGCCGTTCTTCATGCATATTTCGTTGATTTTTTTACCAGTTTATCTTCTGTCCTTGGTTGTATTTTTGCTGAACTGAAAATGGCATAGAAAACTGCCACGGCTAAACATATTACCGTCCTCAGTACACAAACTTGAATATTATTAAGTAGCCATGATAAAATAAAATAACGACTTTACTGTTCATAGTGTGTCATCTTCGTCTCATACAGTGAGGGTTCAAGCAAAAATAGTGCACTAGGCAAAATCAAAAACTGAAGCCCCTCTAATAAATTAAAATTGTTGAACTTAAAATAAGTATAGGCCACTTTTTTGAAAATATCTCTCCAGGCAGTGCCTAGCTCACCTATACTTCGAGTAGCTGGCCCTAGCTAGTTTCATGACGTTAAAACATTTAAAATGTTATTAGTCTTATTTACTTCAGAACTGATAAATGTTTTTAAAATAGTATGCAAATATATGGAAATATTAAATATAGTCAGCTGGGAGCCATAAAGTACACCTATGTACTACATACAAAGAATTTTGGTGCAATATCCAAATGGATAAAATTTAATCCTATAAACAAAGAGGCGTAAATTTTATTAATACAACAATATACAAAATGGTTGTAAATATTTTTTTTTTTATTATTAGAAATAAGCCTCGGCTGCGGAGGCCATTGGCTGACATGGTTTACATTGTTTAGGGAGAATTGTTGTATACACTATTTACATTATTTACATACACATATTAGTATATTACACATATTACACATATTACAACATAATAGGTTATAGATTATTAATAAGGTTGGTCTTGATCAAAAAGGACATCATGCGGCTAATGTTGTCTGGGTGGAGGGCTTCCGATATAATATTTGATACCCCGTCTTGACGTCTGTCCGATTCGAAGGAGCTTGTAAGTAGTGTTTGTATATTAATAGTGTGAAATAAATTTTATGTAAGTTTAAATTTACCAAAAAGTTGAAAACATAAATAGATGTACCTACTATTTATAACAACATAATTTTATTTACGAAAAAATAATAATAATAATAAAAACAGTTTGAAACAGTGTGTTAAAAATCACAACTTAATTTCCTTTCCTACAAAATATAGTATTGTTTCGCTTTCCGATATCATTTTGTCAACTGAGCAGACTTCTAGCTCTCCGTCATCTTCTGTAACTCTTTATTCGTTCTCTCTCTCGTTCCATTATTCTTTACCACGTGTAATTTAAAAACGTAATGCGACTTATTTGCTCATTATTCGTAAGTCATTTTTTTCTCCTATATAATATACAATAATGTGCAAATGTTTCCAAGTACTGCATTTGTGTATTTTATTTTACGTACGATTTACGTTTACTATAGTTGTATTGTTAACGTGTTCAGTTCACCTTTAAGTACCTTTATGTGTTTTTCAAGGCGAATCTTTAAGACAGGCGTTATTAGTTATTACTTAATTCCGTAAAAAAAAAACCCAAAAATGCCTATTAATAATTAATATTATCCTTGTCTTATAAGACGGTATGGTTTACAATGGTGTACCTAAATTGCCTATACGTTACGCCGCGTAACACAATATTACACTATGGGGTATAATTATTATATAATAATAATACAATATATTTATTTAATTATTTACTGTGTACTCAATAATTATGTTATTATTAAATGTTCATGTTTTTTTTTTTATCAAAAAAATTCACTTTTGGAATTATTGTTGAAAAAACCTAAAATTTTTAATCTCTATAAATAGCTTAAACACAGTCAACATACTTAGAACATTTTACTGGAAATGACTAATGGCAACTTCTGGTGGAAATTTGAACTATCTGAAGAAATTTGTCTTTAGTTACAATAAAATTAGAAAAATCGATTTAGTCAAGAACTGGTTTTTACCGTGAAAATACCCGTTTTCCTAATTAATAATTATTAAGTTTTTCTTGTAGCAGTTCAAACATAGGCATTATAATTAGGCACAATTTGTTCTTATAAACATTCATAACTTATGAATCTCTAACAACATACTCTTATGTTTAGCACAGTAAATCTGATGACATTAATACTACAATTAGAAAAGTTGTGACAGAAGTGTTGTTCGGTAGCCGCTACTGAACACGAGGTAATTTGATTTTTGTTTTAGATATTTTATTACTTTTTTTCAGGGTTACCTACCAACTATGAATTATACACTGACATATTATTTAGTATGCATATAAGTCTGGTCAAAATTATTTTAATCTAATGGGTACAGTAATTAATCATTCAATTCAATTTTGACTGATAATAATAATTGTTATACAATTTACTTATAGTAAAAGTTTTCTTGTATACTCTTTGTAAATTGTTTTAAATAGAGAAATAAATATAGAATAAATTCGTTAAATTAAAAAATAGTAAAATTTGTCATACCTTTTAACGGTTTGTAATTTTTGGGTCGGTGATCTGGCATCTTGAAGACGTCATATTCAATGTTTTGCTAGGTAGCTTTTACTAGGTGTATACTTTGACTAATTCCTAACAATCATTAAAACGATTTATATGTATATATTTATGTAGTTGTCAAACTTCATGTTGAGACTATTCATTTCTGATGTCTTTAATATTAATGATTAATAAACATTTAATTAATATTATGCTTGTTGTATAATACAGTATTTTACAAAGGTGTACCTCAATTGCCTATACGTTATGCCGCGTAAGACAATTGTATATTATTTTAATGTTCAAACAAAAACCGTCGATATTTATAATTGGTAGAACACGTAACGTATATATATTTGAAAATAATTTTGTTTCTTAGTTATTTAAATTAAATATAGTATATTTTCTTCGAAAAAAAATAGTAGAGTTGATATGAAGATATACTTAAGAAATGTTATGACATTATATTAATGGTCTCTAAACTTGACATTAATTATTACATATTTATATCACCTCTGCTGACTGTAATACTGACTAGGATCATTCATCCTTGAATATCTAGAACACTGCAATACCAGAAAAGGACAAAAAGTGTATTATTATCTATGGTAGTATCAGACATCTGTAAAATTACAAAAACGATATAAAAATATTATTATATTTTTGTATACATTTATTTTGCTTGAATTATTTTTATTATTTTGCTTATGATTATTATTTATATTTAAAATGAATATACTTCATGCTTAAATAAATTTGTTGATACTATTACTAAAATTAGAAAAATCATAAAAAAGTGAGGGTCAGTAGTCGCTACTGAAAATAGATTTTTGAAAAATATATTTTATACTTTTTTCAGTGTGCAATGCTAATCATAAATAATATAATACTGACATATTTATAAAATATATTTCAGATTACAGATTATTCGTTATTTGATTATGTGAATATTATCGAAACATGATGCGACGTTCATAAATCTTATGATAAATCTGTCGTAGGAAAAAGACATAATATTATTCTTGAATAATCGATTTAAGTGCATAAAACATTTCAACGTGTAACAATTAACGAAAAAAACTATAGACTTATTACCTAACCCAGATATAATTAACAAAAACTAAATAAAAAAATATGTAAATATATTAAGCAAAAGGAAATGCGATCGCTGGATGGTTTCTTCCCCCGCCCTATTCATGTTTCTAAATTTACTGTAGCACATATTCTTATTATGTTTTTATGAATAGATTGTAATGATTGTATATTCTCTTATAAAAATTAAATTAAAAAAACACGTAACAATACAAATTATAAGTTATATAACTTACTACTCAATATGCATTGTATTAAAATAATATTTGTTATAAATATTTTAATACGTACAATAATATAGATGACGAGTTTATGTGTATATATACATTCAAAGCAATACTTAAAGCAATCTACCAAGTAAACTAAATCAATACATATTTTAATATTACATAACATTTATTTTTTATTTTATTTTTATTTTTAAATATTTATTATTTTTATTTTTATTTAGTTATATTTTTTGAACATTTTTCTAAGTGCACTATGCGTTAATTTGAACATAGCGAACCATTTGAGTAAAATTATTATCGTTCATATTTGAGGCCCATTTGAGTACCTACAACCCGGCGGCGCACTTTGTTTGCATATTCAATTCATAAAATCGTAAATTCATTACGTCTGCAGTATGAATAGAACAAATAAATAATCCAACATTTTGGCTGAACACCATAAAATTATGTTTAATATTAATTAAATTCGAGTAAACAAGCGGTGGTTATGTAAACAAAATACTATTAGTCTTAACTCTTATCAAAAGTCAATAACATTTTTTCAAAACAGCGCTGCTTACACTAATATGCTGCTGAGCAATACAATAGTGTTTAGAACTGTATTTTCACGAAGAATTCTCATGTGTTTATTGAAAAAAAAAATGATTGATCGTAATATTATGCATTGATGGTTTGATCTTTGACCTCAAAATATGCAACATAATATTATACTGTATCGTAAATGAAGCTTCCTTCTATTTAATATTGTTACTGTTCAGTATATATAAGATTTGTTTCAGAACATTATTATCTTTACCTACATCTCAACACATAATTAACCTACATTTTTACTCTCCATATCGATTATATTGTGCGTCATTTTTGATTTTAGTTCTGGGTGGGATCAAAATAATTATATATTATATTATTAAATTAATACGACGTGGCTTTTTTTATACTCTATTATATGATTGCAACCAGAGATGGAAAATTTTTAAAATTTTTATAAATAAATATGTTTTGGGCTGGAAAACATATTTATAATTAATTGATTTTCCCTGTAGAAGATAAACATCGAGTAGAACAGAATAGAGTATAATATATGAAGTACACCTAAAATTCAAAATGTTGCTATTATACTCATATTGCAGTTTACTTAAAAATTTATTATTAATGATCAGGACTACCAATTTTTCGATAACAGAATAATTATTTTTTCTGTATCGTGGCTTAATTTATTTTGTTTATTTTGTTTATTTTGTTTATTTTGTTTTTTTGTTATGTTTTTGTATTATTATCTATTACTATTGTTTGTTGTCTTCGTTTAATTTTTGTTTTCGTTTAATAATGCTGTTTACAAAATTTGAAGTTTTCTATCCCTAGTTAAAATTTAAAACGAAACTTCTCATCGTCATCAACTGACGCTAAATTTGGTTGGAATAACAATAATATTGTTTAAAATATATTTTAATCGCGAAAATTAGGTGACTATATAAACATTATATATCTACAATAGCATATTATTATTTTAGAATCAATACCGAATTCGAAGGTTATTATAATAATATACTGTAGTCTGTCACTAACAACTGTTGTTTAACGCATAATTATTGCAATAAAAATGACAAAATGCTCATAATATTTTAATAAATTCCATTTATTGACCGAGAGTGCGATAACGACGGTTTTAGTATTTTCACAGCTCAATTATTATTAAACTTTCTGTGGCCAACCCACACAATGCGAACGATAAAATATATTTTTATGATTATTTTTCTGTTCTTGTATTTACACCATTAATAAAAAAAAATATATATCACATTATGCTTACACTAATTATTATACTTTTTACATTATTTCAGAACGTCTGTCAGCGCATTGTATCACTAACTAAGCCGACAATGCAAGCAATTCGGTCGTCTTTCTATAAATGTATTATATTATTATTATTAATTCATAATGTTGCATGTAAACTACGGCCCAGTGTTGATTTCAAAATTGTTAAGTTGAAAAATTGTCGTTGGCATATGTTCAGGCATTTATTGGAACTATGAACATTTTTTTTAAATAATAATTTAACTTTGTTTACATTTTATCTGGCATCAATTTTATTTTATATTTAATTAAAATATGTATTATTTTTAAAATCATGTTTTCAAAGTGCAACATGTAACGTCACGCTTAGGTATGGTACGGGTTACCGGTAATAAAATATTTTTACCCTTGAAATTGTATTATAACTTTGCCATATTATATAATATTATCTCGGGTGACAGTCGTCCTTCTTCCGGTAAATAGTCCGAAAAATACATTTGCCAAACGGTACAATTTGCAGCACCAACAGCAGCAATAACCGTCATGAATATATTTAAAAAAAATAAAGCCGACCATTTCCGGGCAAACCCTCGTCGCATAATATTTGATGTTTCAAACTTAAAACAATGTAACTCGTAGATAATTTATTAGTTTTTCGATTCAAAGTTGAATCAAAATGAAATTAAAAAAAAAGTCATCGAAAATAATGTTTAAAAAAATAAAGCTGACCATTTTCGGACAAACCGTGGTCGTATAATACTGGACGTTTCATACTTACAACAATCTAAGGCGTAGATAATTGGTTATTCGATTTCAAGTCGAGTCGAAACGAAATAAAAAAGAATGGTTAGTCGAAGCTGCAATACATGATTTATTATACTGCTAATGATATGGAGTGCAAAATGTTGCGGCGCTATATCGGTTATCCGATATTAAATCTAATAAAAACAAATATATTAACCGAGCAATGATTTGACCTAGTTGTTATATTTTAAATTACCTATATATGTATAATATTATATTATAATAACGTACGATGTACACATTGCAGTATTTTTTTTTAATGAAACTAGAACAATGATGATTATAATGTTTTGATAAACAATGCAGTGTATATACACATCGATGCGCAGTTACGACGTCCAATTAATGCATCTTCTTGACATGCCAATTCGGATGGTTCTTAAATGTTTTTCAATTGAGAATATTGTTCAGCACCATCGATATTACATCCAATACGTTTTCGATCGTTGTGGGACAGATTTTATTTTATAATTCACGCGTTCATCCTGTATCATAAGTTATAAGTGTTATAAGTTATAATAAGTGTTAATAACCATTGCTCGGAACTTCATGCATTTGTATACGTATTTCATAGGAAGCCGTATATTTTAAAATCTGATTTGATACAAAACCGTTTTATGATACATACAATCGAATTTAAAAACGATGTACTGAATACACCCTTACATATATACTCATGATAACTTTGTATAAATATATTTAAAATGTAGAATAATTCTGAATAATTGTACTATCAGGAAATGGTACAATGTATGGAATATAGATCAATACTATTTGTTGGAGAGAAAGAGTGTAATTCAAAAATCACCAGTTTCCAATTGACAAAAAAAAGTTTAACTGGCCATTTTTTACTTATTATTGATTAGTTTTTTTAAATTCATATAAAGTTAATATTTAAATCGATTTTTAACAACCAGTGTTAATATTTTAAATTGATTGATTTAATATTTAAAACGACTATAGTGAACGTTATTATAACGCTGAAACCAATAATTGCATGTCGTTTGCCCTTTCTTACATATTATCTATTATAGATTACTGAATTAATATTCCCATGTAATATATTGAATGTATATTTAATTTATGCACATATTGACATTTGACTTGTGTAGTATGGTCGCAAATGAATAAAAAATATTCATTATTGTGAGAAAGGACACATATTGTCATGTCATAATTAATAATATAATAAAATATGGTAAAATAATTTTTTTTTTTTTGAAGTATGAACTTTACCATTTTATGACATTACCGTATTCGAAAATAATAAAAACATTTGTAGTTTGAATAAATTACAGAAATTACCTATAAAATGTTAATTATCTAAATCATAAATAAACATTTGCTTTATTTATTAAACTTTTGCATGATACGCGTTTGATGATACATACATTTATTTATTTAAACTTAGTTCATTATAATTATCATAATAAGAGCTGATACCAAAGAGCTATGTATTCCAATCACTGACCCTAGCTCATATTTGCAGGTATACGGAGTTTTTATATTATATTCATGTAGAACTCGTTACTTATGTAATATAATTCTGAAATTCTTAAAATTGTCACATAATTTACTATAAGTATATACATGTGTATTTAAATTACACTGCAAGTATTAAATTCAATCACGCAATTAAAAAATGTTTGAATAACACAGGTCTGAGGACAATTATACATACACATATATTTAATTATCATATGAATGTTATGAGCATTATAATTCATTATTAATAATATGCTTCATTTCGGAGGTTCAGTACACTATTATAATATTATTCCATTATTTTAGAATAGTTTTTTAATATGTCCATACTGTAGAAATCGAATTAATTAGTCCGTACAAATAATTTTTACTTTGTGTGGTAATAATAATTTTATACTTTAATAAATAAAGCACCAAATTAAAGGAGATAAAAGTGATACTAATCGATGGTTAAACAGATATTTAAATAGCAAAGAAGTCACTGTCCCTAATACAATTCGTATTGGAAACACACTAGATTTACTCACGATTTCCTGATTGCTAGAATGGATATGCCAAACCTGTGGAACCGAATTTTCCGTTAAACACACACTCGCCGACTGTTTAAAATACAATCTACATCGGATTGATCTTAAGATATAAAACAGCCTTGACACCGCAATTGGACGAATCAAACATGAACATAACCTAGACTTAATCAATTTTCTCAAACTAACTAATTTGTGTAAATGTATTAGAAAAAAAATTGTTATTATGTACCAAATTATATTCATAGAACCACAATGTAAAAATCGTTATTTAAATAATGGCTTGTGTTTTCTACATTTTTTTTCGATCAATAATAATAAAAAAAAATAGTAATAATTTTACAATAGAGAGTGATTCAGAATTGTACTCGTATCATAAATCGTACGGTATAAAATAGATCAATAATATACATACACATACGAAATATTTGATCATACACACGTGCTATTATATAATAATATATTGTCAAACCATCAATCAAACAATTTATCGGTCATGGGCTTGATCAGTAATAAATGTTTGGCAAATAAGACGTCCGCTTTCCAAAGCACTAATAAGACGTAATAACGGACGACTTAATGTAAATTGCGTAGATCAGAGTGGTCCAACCTTTTTTTTCAGTCCACAGGCCAATTTATACTTTCAAATTAAATCATTCGAAAACACTGTCGCTCGCCACGGATTATTAATTTTCTTATTAGTGCAAAATTACGACCCATATGGAGTGAATATTATACTGTATAATATATTATAGTATATTAACGATCTGGTGCTACCGGATTTATGCTTTACTACAATATTATTAAATTATTTTAAAATACAGTTCCATACTATATACAAGTTGTCCCGTTTAGCGTTGCCCGTGCCAAATTTTTTTTTCGAACCGATTTGAGTAACACTTTTTTAGTTTATCGCTATATAAACGCAAATAAAGAACAATAAAAAAAATTAAATGTATATATATATATATATATTAAAAATCAATCTATAATTATTCTTAATTCATTAAATACCTAACAAAACGTAGCATGTTGCTATTATAGATATTTTTCACATAATAAACTGTACTAATATCTACGACTCCTCAATTTTATTTTCCATTAAAGTACTATGCTAGAATTATTTAATGTGGCTTGGTGAATGGTATGGCCTGGTCGTAAGCTCGATACGCGGAAATGCTCCGAGTTAGTTACCGATTTGCGTTGCTAGCTCCCGAATGGGTGAACATCCGGGTTTTTAGCGACAAAAATCCTTGCCACACATACATATGTGTTCCAACCAACCTTTCCCCTCACACAGTAACAGGCTAATGACGTTAGTGGTTGAAGCCTTAGTTTTAATAAAAAAAAAAAAGCAATATTTAATTTTTTTACTACTAATCTTTATTTATTTATTACTTCTGTATGAGTGACTAAACTCTTCCTAAACGGCTGGACCGATTTCAATGACATTTTTTTGTGTGCGATTAAGTCGTTAGGGTCGATTAAGGGTCCTTTGTTAAAGATTCAAAATTGGACCCTGTAGGCATGACTTGGAGAGGAGCTCAAACAGGCATTTTGAGATTTAAGATAATTATAAACGATTGTTATTGGTTACATTAGAAATAATTAGTAGATATTAGTATTTTTTGTTATGGTTGTCATTAGTTACTAGGGCAGATGAGGTAAAATCATGCAAATCGTCACTTTTGTGGTTTCGAACAAAGAAATGGCATCTTAAATATGACAGTTTAATGAATGTTTGTAGATAATTTAGATATCCGAAAACGATTTAACTAAAGGGTAGCTCTGTAGTTTACACATGATTTTTTTCAATTTACCTACCTACAAAAAAGAAATTTTTTATAGCATATACATTTATACATTTTTTTATAAATAAAAATATTAAAAATACATTGTATAACGTAGGGTGGGATAGCTAATTATATAACTATGTAGTAATATACAATGGAATTAACGGAAACCTTATAAAGAAACAAAAAAAGTATTATTTTTTCGTGAGCTGCCCTTTAGTTATCTAAAGGTCCTATATACTATAGAGGTTAAAAAATAAGCTATAAATATGTGATATAATTTTTTATTGAAAACGGTGCTTTAGTTCTTGAGGCAATTAACGTCGGATAGACCAATATCCAACATCATAAATAGATTTATAAATATACTGATTTAGATAGTGTTGCTTAAAATGCTTGAGCTAAAATAAAATTCATATGTGACTATTAGGTAGCTGAAGGGTGAGCTACCTTTCAGCTACCTATAGGGTTGAAAATACACTGTAAATACCCTTTAAGTCTCAACAATAGTATTGATATAATTTTTAATTTTTAATAAAAACGATCCAGTAGTTTTTGAGTCATTATCTAACAGGTAGACAAATATCCACTTGTATATTTTACATAATATATTCAAGAGAGCAAAAAAAAAAAAATAATAACTGCGGGATAAGGGCCACACTGGTCTATGTCAACAAAAAAAAAAAATATATAATACAGAATGTACGACTATGTGATGCACGTTCTTAGATGTAAATTCAGATAAATCCATACGAAGGAGAGGATGTAAAATTATTTTGTAAACAAACATATCGTTACAATTTAAAATAAACTATTCGAAAACAAGTCTCATCGGAGGAGGGGAGAATGTCCTTTAATTACCCATATCAACGTTTAGAGTCACATATATTTAGCAGCTAAGCATAAATTAATAGATCATATTATTGTACATTATAATATGGATGAGGTTAATCTGATCGAAAATCGTAAAAACGAAGGTCAAATGATCGCAAAATGGAATGCGATTGAAAATGTGTTATTTTTTCACTGCTATGGATGTTCGATATTTTATAGGAAAAAAATAGTAATTAAAACTTTATGAGTTTAGAAAAATGAAAGTACATATAATTAAAAATATGATAAATATTATCATAGGACATAGATGTATTAGCGATGTGGCACTGTGATCGACAACTGCAGTCTTGTAAAAGACGCTTTTTAATAAAAAATAATTATATCTTATTTTTTGGGATGAGTAAAATTAAAATAGAATATATACAAACTAAAACGAATAAGTATTTGATTTAAAATACTTTGTTCAAGGACTTTTTAAAAAATATTTAAGATACGTATTTGAGTACTTGAAAAGTATTTGTGCACTTTTCCTCAAATAATTCGATTTGAATTGAATTCCACAACAGTGAAGAACAATTAATTACATTCTACAACACTACGATATGAGGCCATCACTAAGTATTGAGATTTAAGGTTCATAGTAATTGAATTCAACTGTAAACTAAACGCTTATGAATTATTTATTTCGAGTTTCATAATCCACAACTTAGATATGTTGTTATTTATTATAAATGTATACGTGTTTACGCTTTAAAATTAAATATACACGTGAATTGCTTTTACCATTTATAAATATGTAGATTATAGTAAATTTGGT